TGGAGAAGGATGTCATGCTGGGTAAGATGGAGGGTCAGAGAGAAAGAGGAAGACCCCCAACAAGATGGACCAGCTAGGTGGCATCATTGATGACGTCAAGTGTGGCAGCGGTAGTGAGGTTGTCGCAGGATCAGACTTTGTTTCGTTCTGTGCATGGGGTCGCTATGAGTCGGTTCTGACTCGATGGCACCTGACAACAACAACAACAACAGCTGCGGAGAAAACCTACCACACCAAGGGTGAGGAAACAAGCATAAGGGAAATGTCAAGTTTATTGGCATGTAGTGAATTTACTGATCATTAATAAAAGACACTACTAATAAATCCAGATGGGAAATCAGAACAGTAGTTTAAAGATCCTCTCTTCTCTGACCCTAACATCACAAAACATAGAAGACTGAATTTGGATAAGGGAGACAATAGGACATGAAGAAGCAAATAAGGACAATTTCATGGTGTTCAGGGCAGAGACTCTGGTAGCTTATTGGTAGAATTCTTCCTTTTGTGTGGAAGACAGGTTGAATTCTCAACCAATGGACCTACTCTCAGCAGAGTTTGTCTGTTGCTAAAACATCAAACAGATTTCAACAGAGTTTCCAGACTAAGATGAACTAGTAAGAAAGGCCTGAAAATCTACTTCCAAAAATAATCCACAATAAACACCATCAATCACAGTAGTCTGATCATCAGTTACTGATGGTAATGATGCAAGAGTGGGGAGCATTTTCTGATGCTGTAAATGTAGTCACCATGTGTCAGGGAATCAACTCAAGAGCAGCTTACTTACTACATGATGTAAATGAAGAAGAAATGGTAAGAAATATGATTGGGGTATTAGGAAAATTACTTTAAAATTTTTGGTTGCAGATGTTAGGTTTTGCCATCTTTTTCAACCCACATATTAAAAACTATGGCACACGTTTTGAGAGTAGGCTATTCTGCTGAGGAACCTCCTATAGGCTCTTTTGATGTTCTTGTTTCTCAGACTGTAAATGAAGGGGTTTAGCATGGGGGTGACCACAGTGTACATGATTGAGGCCAAAGCATCCTTCTTGGCAGAATATGAGAACACTGAACTGAGAGACACTCCAAGGCCTGCTCCGTAAAACAAGCAAACAACTGACAGGTGAGATCCACAGGTGGAAAAGGCTTTATATCTCCCACCTGAAGATGAGACTTTCAGAATGGAGGAAATAATTCGAATGTAAGATAAAAGGATCACTGAGACTGGAGCACCACCAATGATAGCACCAATAATATACTCCACTTGGGTATTGTTGGAAGTGGCAGAACAGGCAAGGTGGAGGAGTTGTAGAGGGTCACAAAAGAAACTAGGGACTTCCACATTTGTGCAGAAGGTAAGTTGTGCCACTGAAGACATGTTCAGCTGGGAGTCCAGAATGCTGATGAGACATGATACCAAAACTAGCAACCCACAGAGTCGGGGGTTCATGATAATTTTGTAGTGAAGGGGGTGACAGATGGCCAAAAGTCGGTCATAAGCCATCACAGTGAGCAAAAGACTATCCATACATCCAAACAAATAATAAAAGGATACTTGTGTCAAGCAGCCCTCATAGGTGATGGATTTGCTCTGTGTCTGGATGTTGACCAACATCTTTGGGACAGTGGTGGAGATGAAACACATGTCAGCTAAAGACAGGTTGGAGAGGAAGAAGTACATGAGGGTGTGGAGATGAGGGTCAGAGATGATGGCCAGGGTGATGAGCAGGTTACCGAGCAGAGTGATCAGGTACGTGATTAGGAAGAGCCCAAAAAAGAGAGGCTGCAGTTCTGTATCCTCAGAAAGACCCAGGAGGAAGAATTCTAAGACGCTCGTTTGATTCTGTGGCTCCATGTGCCTGAGACAACTTTTAGAAGACGAAGAGAGGATTATTAAAAGAAGTGAACAGGCATCCAACACTTTGTCTCTTTTTTAATTCATGCAAACTGGTAAATTTTCACACTTGAGGACCTAATAGCCCACTACCTTCAACAATATCTGTCAATTTTGGCAGATCTAACCATTGTACTTTTCAGAACATTTTCCAGCTTGCTCTCTGTGCTATTTTACTAATTCTGTATTCTCCCACTTTAGAGACACTGGGCTAAAGTACGTTAGAGTGTCAAGGATATTTTAAAATATTAAAAATCTTTAAGAGAGGCCTGCTGGTGCTATTGGGTATTCATTGGACTACAAACCACATGGTCAGTAGTTCAAACTCACCCACTCCAAAGGAGAAAAATGAGGCTGTCTGCTCCCATAAAAATTTATAATCATGGAAACCCTATACATATAGAATGGATTGCTATGATGAGAATCACCTCCATGGCAGTGGAACTATGTGGGATATGAAGGAAACATAAACAAATGTATCCATCATTTTAGAAAAAGATTAATCATTTCAATAAAGGACACTACGAAACATTTGTATTCCAGGGTGGAAAAATGGTTGATGTTCTTGTCTGCTAATCAAAATATTTGAATCCACCTTGAATTACATTGAAAGACAGGTGTGATGGTCTACCTCTCAAAAATCAGTCATCAAAACCCCATGACACACACTTGTACTCTGACACAGCGGTGTCACCATGAGTCAGAAACGACACAAAGAGCAACAGGCTGTTCTGTTTAAGAAGCAGTCCAATGTGCTTTATTTTTTTTTCTAAGCGTTATTGTTGCTGTTGTTATGTACTGTTGAGTCGGTTCTGACTCATAATGAGTCTGTTTAGTGTTTCCAAGGAGACTCTGGTGTGTTTGAGTCACCAAACTTGTTGTTAGCTATTCAGCACTTACCCTACAGTGCTACACTGAATAAAGTCCCTCATTCATGACTACTCATAAGATAACAATAAGAAATAGAACAATATTTAGAAAGAAAAAACAACCAAGAACCACCTTTGCCATGTATTACAGAACAGAACAGTTGCATAGTGTTTTCATGACAGTAATCATTACAGAAACCAAGCACCACAGCTTTCTTTTATAGCACTGAGGAGTTAATTAGAACCACCAACGTTTAGGTTAGTAGTGGATTTAAAACTGCATGCTCAACCCAGGGACTTCATTATTTGGATTCTTACTTCAAATGTAATGTTCATGTTCATACAGAAAATTTATATGTCAATTAACTTCAAAGATTTTCATCACCCTTTTGTTTTCTGACAAAAATTTGATATGGGGTTATGTGATCAATCAAATAACTGGGTTGTCTCTAAAAATGTTTTCCAATGTATATCCTCTCATTTGGTTAAATGAACATTACATTTTTGTAAGGATATGCTTGGTAAATGTATACCACTGCTGATTTCCAAGATGACAGTGGAACACACATTAATGATTTAAATACTAATTTACTTTAAGAAAAAAAATAATTGTTACACTGTTATTGTTATAAATGTTAAATCTTCTCGGAGCAATGTCTGATGTTCAGTTGCCTTTTTCCTTTATATATTTCAATTCTTTATCAACTTGATACAATACTTACATATGTTTCTCATCCTAAATGCTTGGAAAATGTTGTTTCCTTCTAAAATCAGCATTCTTGCTTACAGTTGAATAAATAAGTAACAGAACAGTTCTAAATCCAGGGTTGAACTAACCAATTTTAGACCTATTTAAGACTTTCCAAGTCAATCTTTCTTTATCAATGAGAGTAGAATCCTCATCATTTTACCTCCCAGATGAAAACAAACATCTTTTCTCTTGATAGATCAAATATGATTTAATTGGGAAAAAATGTAAAAGTGAAAACAATAGAAGATAATATGAAGAAAAAACACTGTTAATTTGTACTTATGTGTATGTAGTGGTTAAGAATTGGGCTGCGAACCACAAGGTCAGCAGTTGGAAACTACCAACTGTTCTGCAGAAGAAAGCTGAGGCATTCTTCTCCTGTAAAGATTTACAGCCTCAGAAACGCTGGACGGGGTCCCTACAAGTCAGAACCAACTCCACTGCACACAGCCACCACCATACTGGACTGTGAACCACAAGGTCAAGTTCAAACCCAGGATTTACTCCTCAGAAAACCTATACAGGGGTGCTATGGGCTGGGACTGAATAGACAGCATTTAACAAAAATGACAACACTGTAACTCGCCTGTCAGGTTATCATACTATAGTGACAAATGTATTGCAGTGGTTCTAGAAGCTGTGCCATGAGTATTTTAAGTATCAGCAGAGTCAACCACGGTGGACAGGTGTCAGCTGAGCTTCCAGATGAAGACAGACTAGGAAGAAGGAGATATGGACTACTTCTGAATATTTAGTCACTGAAAACCTTATAAATAGAGGTGGATTACTGTGAGCGCTAAAAAATTGAATATTGGAACATGATGAAAAGCATAAGACCATTGTTACAAAGAGTGCCAAAAGATGAATCCCTCGGTTTGGAAGACACTCAAAATAGGATTGGAGAAGTGCTGCCTCCAGAAGGTAAAGTTGACCTTGATGATGCAAATAAAGTAAGCCTTCAGAACCTTCATTTGCTGTTGAAGCACAACTCAAAATGAAGAGAAAAACTGTAAATATCCATTAGTAATCAAAACACAGAATGCACAAAGTATGAATCTAGGAAAAAATGGAAGTTGTCAAAAATGAAATGGAACACATAAACATCCATCTCCAAGGCATTAGTGAGCTGAAATGGATTGGTATTGGACATTTTGGATGTAACAATCATATAGTTTATTATTCTAGGAATGACAAATTAAATAGGAATGGAGTCATGTTCATCATCAAAAATAACATACCATGATTTTTCTTGAAGTACAACAATGTCTGGATAGGATGATATTCATACACCCACAAGGAAGACCAATTAATACTGCAATTACTCAAATTTATGCCCCAACCACTAAAGTCAATGATGATTAAATTGAAGGATTAGGCCAACTTCTTCATTCTGAAATTGATTAAATATGTAATCAAGATGTATTAATATTACTGGTGATTGAAATACAACAATTGTAAACCAAGAGGAAGGATCAGTAATTGGAAAATATAGCCTTGGTGATAGAAATAATGCTGGAGATAGCACAATAGGGTTTTGCAAAAATCAATGACTTCATTGTAGATAACTTTTTTCAATAACATAAAACACAACTCTACACAGGAACTTACCAAATGGAATACACAGAAATGAAATTGATTACATTTGTGGTAAGAGACAGTTGAAAATTCCATATCATTAGCCAATGTTTGTGGGGTTGGCGCAGGAGGTGTTTCATTCTGTTGTGCATAGAATCACTGAGTTGGTATTGACTTGATGGCACCTAACAACAACAACCAGAAATGCCAAGAAATTTGCAACACAGTTCCCATTCCAATGATATGAAATTCATATTCATATTCATATTCAGACCTTTTCCAGGATAGATAATCCAAAGAATTGTAGAACAATATCAGTAATGTCACATGTAAGTAAAATTTTGCTAAAGATAAATCAAATAATGGTTTCAGCTAGACATAATCAAAGAGTGGCCAAAAATTCAAACAAGAGTCACAAGAAGACTTGGAACTCGGAATTTCATTGCTGATATCAGATGGATCCTGGCTAAAAGCAGAGAATACCAGAAAGAAGTTTACTTATTCTTTGTTGACTATACAAAAGCATTCTAATGTGTGGATCACACAAACTAAGGGTAATATTGTGAAAAATCAGGAGTTCCAGAAAACTTAAATATGCTCATGTGGAAATTGTACAGAGATCAAGAGA